CCCCCAAAAAGAAAATGCTTTCATCATCATTCAACACTTTCACCACACTCACACATAATCACTGTTTTTGCAGAGGTGCTCAGAATACAACAGTTTAGAAGCATATACGTATAAAGATACACAACATATCCCTCCAAACTGCCAATATCCCAAACCCCTCCTTTAAAGTGCAGGCATTGTACTTTCCCATTTCCAGGACTCAAGTCCGACTATATGAAAATAACCGGTTTCCCTGAATCCCTTCACTAAATATTACCCTGCTCACACTCCAACAGATCGTCAGGTCTCAAGTACCATTCGTCTCCATTCACTCCTATCTAACACGCTCACGCACGCTTGCTAGAAGTCCAAGCCCCTTGCCCACAAAACCTCCTTTACCCCCTCTCTCCAACCCTTTTGAGGACGACCCCTACCTCGCCTTCCTTCCCCTATAGATTTATATGCTTTCCATGTCATCTACTTTGATCCATTCTCTCTAATGACCAAACCACCTCAACAACCCCTCTTCTGCCCTCTGACTAATACTTTTATTAACTCCACACCTTTTCCTAATTTCCACACTCGAATTTTCTGCATAATATTTACACCACACATTGCCCTTAGACAGGACATCTCCACTGCCTCCAACCGTCTCCTCGCTGCTGCATTTACCACCCAAGCTTCAACACCCATATAAGAGTGTTGGTACTACTATACTTTCATACATTCCCTTCTTTGCCTCCATAGATAACGTTTTTTGACTCCACATATTATCATCATTCTTTCAACAAACTGGCCATATCCCACCAAGGCAAGGTAGCCCAAAAGAAAAACAAAAGTTTCTCTTTTTAACTTTAGTAATGTATACAGAAAAAGGGATTACTAGTCCCTTGCTCCATCATTTTAGTCGCCTCTTACAACACGCATAGCTTACGGAGGAAGAATTGTTCACTTCCTCATGGAGATTATATTATTATTATTATTACAGGTGGTGGATGCCCTCGGTACCCTCTTTCTGGTGTTCCACTTTTTGGTGATTTTCAACTGAGCTATTGTTCATTAGGCTCATGTTTTTTTTTTTTCCGTTTTTCTGCGTAACAATCTTTGTCTATATGTGTGTGTGTCTAATTTATCAACATGTATCAGAAATCTTCCCTATGAGGATAGACTGAGGCCCTGAATCTGCACTCTCTAGAAAGGCATAGAATTAGGGGGGATATAATTGAGGTGTATAAATGGAAAGCAGAATTAATAAAGGGGATGTAAATAGCGTGCTAAAAATATCTAACATAGACAGGACTCGCAGCAATGGCAATAATAAAGGAATTAATAAAGGGGATGTAAATAGCGTGCTAAAAATATCTACATAGACAGGACTCGCAGCAATGGTAATAGAGTTGTGGATGAGTGGAACAAACTCCCGAGTACCGTCATAGACGCTAAGACGTTGTGAAGTTTAAAAATGGGTTGGATAAATGCATGAGTGGGTGTGACCTAGTAGCTTGTGCTACTAGGTCAGATACCGTGCTCCTCCTTAAGTGACGTGTCTGACCTCACTAGGTCAAGGCATTGGCTTAAGCTGGTAGAAGAATTGGACCTGCCTTGCATAGGCCAGTAGGCCTGTTGCATGTTCCTTCTTTCTTATGTTCTTATAACTGATGCCATATTTTAAGATAAGTATTGTATGTACCGTGTATTTTATTTTTGTATCGATTTTTATGCCTAGCTGTATTGAGCACTTAATATATGATACTGCAAATGTGTTATCAGGCACTTTAGACATTCAAATTTAAAAAAAAAAAAAAAAATTCTTCCCCACTTGCCAATGATTTTCACTTATTGCTGGGGGTCAGGAACCTAACAGCCATAAAGACAGGGCCCTCCTGTATTATTATTAAAGACTGGCCATTTCCTAGCAAGGTAGGGGGACCTGAAAAAGAAGAAACATTTTCACCATCACCATCTTGCCAGAGGCACTATGACACTGCAGATCAGATGTCCCTCCAAACTGTATTATCCCCACCCCCTCCTTCAGAGTGCAGGCATTGTACTTCCCACCTCCAGGACTTATGTCCAGTTAAATGGTTTCTCTGAATCCCTTCATAAATGTTACTTTGCTCACACTCCAACAGTATGTCAAGTCTAAAAATTCCTTACCTCCATTCCTATCTAGCACACAAACACCCCTACCCTGCCTTCCCTCCATTACAGATTTATACAGCCTCCAAGTTACAACAATGGATAATGAACAAGTTAACAAGTCTGTAGGAACATGTGAAGGGAACAAAAACATGTATAGTGAACAAGTTATAAACTTCTAACGTACAAGTTATGAACATGTGTAGTGAACAAGTTATTACAATGGGTAATGAACAAGTTATCAACAGGTGAAGGGAACAAGTATTGAACATGTGTAGTGAATATGTCCACTGATGCACCTTCATGTCATGAAAGAGCAGTGTAAGACTACAACTGCAGGAACCAAGCACTAAGGGACCTTTCAAAAATTTTATGCTCCAATCATCCCACCAAAACTAACCTTCACGTAATCCGTAGCCCACAACATGCTCCCTTTGCCCTCTCTGCCTATCAGCCAGTCCTCTACCCCCCCTCTTCACCAGCTCTCTGGAACCACTAATATATGTATGCAAGGTTCGTGGGTAGCGTCTATACTGACTTCATAAAAGGCCTTCATAGGGTAAAACATTATGTAATAAATTACAGAATGTGTAGACTTAAACCCATGCATATGGAGTCCTAAAACTCACAGGCCAGTGCAATGAACCACTCTGCCAGCGCTCTAAATGATTCATTCAACTATGTATATTTCTATACACCAAAAACAGCTGTCTCTCTATGAGTGAATAATCTTGTATACAACTGCTATCACAAAAAAATACAGGTACAGTGGAACCTCTGTTTACGAGTTTAATAATCCATTCTGTGACCTAGCCTCCGAACCCGATTCTGCTCGCATGCCGAGTCAATTTGTCCTCATTTAAAATGAATTAAAATGCATAATCCAGCCAGCAATTCCCTGCTCTGGAGGCAGGACAAAATACTGAATATACGCTAATATCAATCACACTTACTATCACATTCCATCTAATATGACATAATAAACAATAGAATTAACACAACCCTGAGCTATAGTCTATGGGGGTAAAATGAATAATATACAGTGACCCCAGAGTTTCGTGATTAATCCATTCCAGAGAGTCTGCTGAATGGCAAAATTGCTCAAATGGAAAACCCTTTTCCAGAAGAAATAATGAAATCCCAATTAATCCATTGCAGACACTAAAATATTAACAGAAAAATATTTTTTCTTTAAAGATTAAATATGAGATTACATACAGAATACAATGACAAAATAAATATAAAGCACTAATAAAATGGATACATGAACATTAACACTTATCTTTATTGAAGACTTTTGTGGGTGTAGGCAGACAGTAGGAGGATAAGGAGGCGAGTTTTGTATGCTTCAACATGATGCTAATATCTCTACAGCATATTTTCTATCACAATCATCTAATATGACATATAAACAATAGTCTAACATAGAAAAACGATATATATATTCTAGAATTAATTAAATAACAGTGGTCCCTCGACAAACGATAATAATCCGTTCCTGAGAAGCTCAGTCTTATCGAAATTATCGTTAGTCGAGTTTAATTTTCCCCATAAGAAAATATTGGAAACAAATTAATCCCGCACAGTCAACCCACAAGTATTGAAAAAAAAAAATTTTTTAACCACATGAAAATATTCATTTTAATACACACAAACTGAAGAGACATGTACAATTACATGACACTTACCTTTATTGAAGATCGGTGATATTGAATGGGATGGGAGGAGGGAGACGTGGATGTGTTAGTGTTTAGAAGGGAATTCCTCTTGCTCCCTTCCAGTAGATTTGAGTGGCCAAGTCCTTTTCCTGGGTACTTCCCTTCTTTGAATGCCCTAAGACCACTTGTGAGCACTGGACCGCTGTCACACAAACAGATCTGTCCATAGAGGCCTGTACCTCCGTTCCTTTATGACATTCCTAAAGTGTTTCACAACATTGTCAGGGTCACAATTAAACATTGTTCAGGTTTCATTCTCACTGTCTGTGTACTCTTGAATACCTGCACCTATGTTTCAGGCTGTGCTTTTTGTCCAAGCTGGCATCCTCACCAAGCTTTATCACACTCCGTATGCCACTACGAATTCTTAAATCTCTCAAACTCAACCTTTGCTGGCCTTAAATTCACTCACATCAACTAGTGCAGGCATGTTCTAATTAAATCCTCATGCAACTTCCTAGCCTTTTTCACATATGATCTCTTATAGAGCTATCTCCTGCTATCGTTTTCGGTTATCCACACCAATAACATCACTCAGACATCGTCTAATCACTTGCTATCTGCAGTTTCGAAAACATTGATTGCACCTTTGGCAAGAAAACTATCCTTGATTGCCGTTTTCTTGGCCACAATAGTACAATGGTTGATTGGGGTTTTGTGATAGCAACCTGGGCTCACGCAGAGAGACACACTCCCTTACATGTAATTTTAAAGTCCCCATTATATGAGGACTTACCTTCTATATTTTATTAAAATCAAAACAAAACATACCTTTTTAGATAGGCGTCAGTTTTCGTCTCCCATCTTCCTTGGTTCGCCTTTCTGGTCGGGGATTTGTGGATTGGAAATGCCCATTATGTACTATTACACTGGACTCATGGCTTCCTTGGGTTCACCTTTGCCTCCACGGACTGCATCTCTCATTGTCTGTTTGGTTCGCTAACGAGGTGCCATTGCGGAAAGATTACTTTAGTTTCCTGTTATGTCCTCTGCCTCTCTCCTTATAATTCCCTTTTTTTCCTGTTCATCATAAGCTCTATCAATCACAAAATCAATAGTTTTTTGAAACATGTAAACTCACATCACACATTCCATTTATTCGTGCATCAATAGTCTTGTGAAAGGCAGGTTTTACTATTTCATTATTATATTATCATGTTTCAGGTCGAAAAACGAGGAACATCAAGCGATTATCACACTCCACGCTATTTATGTTTTGGGCGCACCACTCATTCGATCTAACAATGTTATTAATCAACTGTTGCTGTGAAGCACACATGTTTCTCTGTCGTTAAGTTTAAGAGGCTGTTCATCTGGGCGGAGGATGTGAGGTTGGCCAGAGTGAAAATATGCCCATATAAAGGACCATTTTGACCCTAGTAAAGACGTGAGAAACGTCAAAATGATGGCTCTGCTCAGCAGGAGCTACACTGGGGAATCCCTGGAGAGAACTAGTAATTGAATACAACCATTGGTGCTTTCTCTATGCTCATCCTCAGCTCAGTAATCGGTACAAAACCATACTCACATCCTCTGCCTGGGACCTTGAGGCCAGTGAAGTTCAATCTGATTTTGTCATCAATGGAATTTTTTCTGAAAAAAATATAAAAACAATAAACACCTGACTACATTACAATATGATAGTTAAAAATAATTTAATACAGGTGATGACACATGCAGCTGATATACTGAAGTTCCGAGTATTCTTTGATTTCCACAACCTTTTCATATTTTCTACATTACATTGATGACTCAACAAATTTGTACTGAGGCATTATAAGATATATTATTAATAGTACACCTTACCAACAAGGGTAATCAGACTGCGTGTACATAACATTAGGTATCTTTATTGGAATGTATTGCCAAAGCATTTCACTTGCACAAAAGGCTTCTATCACCGAATAAAAAGGCATTTTAATAACTTAAAACAGTTTAAGAAATGGAGAGGTAAGTTAGAGTGGCCTTCAAGGCCCTGACAGATGTTCACCTCCCTACCTCTATTAAAACGTGGTCAGTTCCTTAGTCCCTTACATCATCCCTTAGGCCCCTAAGTGGAGTCCCAGACATTATTAGGAGGCACAAAAGAAAGCCACTAGTATTACAAATGTTTAATCAAAACTAAGAATGAACGCTACTATCAAGGCGGAAGACAGGTGAATGCATCAAAATTACCTCTCAATTTCTTCCCTCCCCAGCATTCAAAATCACCTGTTGGAACAAAACCTTTTGTAATACAGATATTTAAGTGTTGCCATCATATAAAGTGCTGTCTTTCCTATATTATTAGGCAGTAACTTCATGCTTGATAAATACTTTTATATCCTCCAATTCCAAAAAGAGTGAAGGGAACAAACCTGTAGTGTGAATACCTTTACTGATTGCTTAATTCTGAACCCTTCAACTGTCCCACACCCAACAAACTGAAAAAACCCTTCTGTGTCCACAAGTTTAAAAAAAAATCCTCATAAATTAATAGAGAATCCTTTTCTCAACGGTAAATAACACGATAGCCCAAATTTAATATAAGACTATGAATTAGCACAAGTGAGAAGTTTAGAGGCCAGATAGAGAACTGTACCATAACAGTGATTTTGCCACATTTGAGGCCTATTTTCAGTTATTTCGGTACTCAATCAGTTGCTGGCCTATTTCCTAGTTTGCCTTCGATATTATCCAATAATGGCAAAAAAATTCCCCATTCAACTACCAGAACTATACATTAAGTCAGCCAGGATCAGAAATTTTGGCAACTTTTACACAATTTTCAAACAAATTCCTTGATAAGTGATTTCCCACCCCTTCACCAAAAAAAACATTCCCATCATCATTAATTACCTACTTCATATTTTTTTTTTCAACAGATGGCCATATCCCACCAAGGGAGGGTACCAAAAAGGAAAGAACAAAAGTTTCGCGTTTTAAAGTTATGTATTGCATACAGAAGGGATTACTAGCCTTTTGCTCAGCATTGCTTAAGAAGGAAGAATATCTGTTCCACTCCCCATGGAGATAAATGGAATAAACAAGACCGAGTAAAAAGAAAACCCAGAGGAGTGTGGATATAAATGCTTGTACACGCATGTGTAGTGTGACCTAAGTGGTAAGTAAAAGTAGGAAAGACGTACTTGAAATCTGGCATGTTTTAACGAGACCAGAAAAAAAGAACACCAGCAATCCTAGCCATTCAGGTAAAACAATTACATGCTTTCTGCTTTACACGCACTTGGCAGGATGGTAAGTACCTCCCTGGGAAGTTGCTGTCGACCAACCGCGACCTAGGTGACTTAACAGTTATTGTCTGCAAAAGTTGCACAGATATCACAAATTCAAACTGACCCTCTGAATTGTCCCACTCATGCAACTTTTATGACAACTTTACCTACATTCATATCACAGCCATAAATTATGACAACTCTACCTTCCTAGTCAGAATTTCTACCAATGCCTAACTTTGCCACTGATAAATAAAATAACAGAATATCACCTGAACTACAATGGCCCTTACTAACGTAACTTCTCAATGCTAATTTTGTTAAAATTTTAACATGATGCAAGCAGTGTAATCTATAAAAACACTGCCTCAACTTCAGAGTATAGAATTACTGTAACAATCTTAGTGACCATTATTAACTATAACATTAATGGTGATTTTGCTACAGATTCCATATAAAAAAACAGTACATTAAAATACTGTGGCTATTGAGACAATATGTAAAAAAGAACTTTTATTGGGACAAATCAGGACTAAAAGCGCTACCCTGAACAATAAAAGCAGTTCTGCATTTGTGTCTTCAGTACCACATTATGTGGTATTGATGCCTCTACTATCTATTAAACTACGTATGATGTAAAAAAATATAGTTACTTACAACAATTAAAATTTTTGTACAGTGACCCCGATTCATACAGCACCCCAACTCGAACAATTAGTAAGTGTTATTATCGTTAGTCTTTCGCAGGTGTTTTTTGGGGTCCCTGAAAACAGACTAATATAATTCACATTATTCCTTATGGGATTAAATTCCATTCGGTAACGGCAACTCGAACAGCCTCTGAACGAATTATGTATGAACCAGGGTAACACTGAAAAAGTATTTGGGCTGCCAATTTATATATTATAGACAACAAACTACAAAAACGCAAGAATAATAAACAAAAAGGTAAGGTATAATGGCTTCATGTATGGAGGTACTTTGGTGACAATTTATTTAGATGCAGCCTCGATAAGCTACCTGTAAGAGTGCAAACAAAGATATAACATCCTTTTGTTTGGTCGGTGTCCAGGTGTGTGTGTGCTGCATTGGTACTGTGTGTGCTGCTGAGCTTGCAACAGGATTTCTCATGCAGTACCTTCTTCTTAGGGGTTTGGAGGAGGCATAACTATGGTACTTTCACCTGTGGAGACGACAGACTGGCACCACCCAAGCACTGACCTGATGTGTAATTTGCACTGTTAGGTTGCAGCCGTTGTAAGTGGGTATTCGTACAACTATCATGTGGCAGTGGTGGAATCCTGGGCCAAGACCGCAAATGTTCCACTCCAAGATACAAATTTGTTGGCAGCAACTGTATTGTACTCATTGAGGAGATCTTGTAGAATTAGCATTGTAAATGTTACCGAGTGCAGTCCACACTGGCAAGAGACCAATAGAATGAGCGAGCTGCTGAGTGTTGGTTGCTGACACGGAGCAGTGTGAAAGTAGTGAGACGGGATGCCCCGCGACCAATACTGTTTACTGCACTGGTGCTACTGCTGCTCCCACTAACTGCCTGGAAGCTGTCGATAGAGGGTACTAAGCCCACCCATCTGAGCCTCATCTGTAAAGTATTGAAATATATTATATTACAAGAATACATCATAATATTGATCACTCGTTGCCTCACAATGCAAGTATGCCTTACTTATGTGTGATTAAACTTTTCACAGTTATAGGAGAAGAGCTATACGCAGGGTGATCCGTCTTCCATAGAATAATATACTAAATACAGTGGACCCCCCCCGCTTAACGATCACTTGCCAAATCGACCAATTATGTAAGTGTATTATGTAGAGTGCGTTTGTCGTGTATGTTTGTAAGGGGTCTGAAATGGACTAATCTACTTCACAATATTCCTTATTGGGAACAATTCGGTCAGTACTGGCACTGAACATACTACTGGAATGAAAAAAGTTCGTTAAAGCAGCGGGGGTCCACTTAATTGTTATTAATTGTTCGAGTGAATATAGCACTTACTACCACTATCTATTGTATCCCATTTCATTACTGTCACTTCAAATTTTCGAATATCTTCGACACCACTGCCTTTCATGGTCTCTAGTTCTCCCGTTGGTGTGCTATAAACAATCTTTATTTTATTGGGTTTATATCTTTTATTATCTTGTATGGGGTCATCTCTTTCATCTTTTATCCATATCAACTAACTAAGAGCTATTTTTTTTTATTATTTTAGCCTTTCTCAACAACTTTGTTTTAGATAATTGCACGTTGAAGGCATTTCATAACTTGGTAATTTGGACATTTTATTTAGCTTATCTAAACAAATCGTTCCAATATTAATAAGAACAATGGTTTCTACACTTTTGTGATCATCTTGCCAGAAACCTTGTACAAAAGTGGGAATCAGTGCAACCAGCTCTTCCCCCCTCTTGTTCGCATTTCACACATACTTTACAACAGCCCATACACATGGGTTAACCCTCCTTTACTTCTGGTTTTATTGCTTGTGATATATAAAGAGCCTAATATGGCAAACTAACCATCATCAATAAAGGCCCCTGTAACAACTGTATTCGTCTCTTCCTATCATAATCTGCCCAACTATTTTTTTCAATACTCCTGTAAATGACTAAAGTAGCTTAACCCTTAAACTGTCCTAGACGTAGATCCTACGTGTTTTTTCAACATTTGAAAAGTAATGTAAAAAAATGTGATTTTTTTTTTTTTACAATGAAAAACGTGTAATAAAAAATTTTTATATCTACTTTTGTTTTTTTGTTATAACAGTGGAACCTCTACTTGCGAGCAGTGTACACGTGCGAGTTTTCCAAATACAGCAATCGATGGGTCAATTTTGCTTCCATACCCAGCAAAATTTCACATACGACAGACGCTCAAGCGCAGGTTCCTCGAACACTGTGAGGCTCGTGCTTTGATCTTGGAAGGTAATCCTCATGTGGGTGTTGACGGATCTCATTGAATACTTGGGCATGTATGGTGGGAAAGATGCTTCTTAAACGTACACCAAAAATTAAAGAAAATCTAGCAT